AGGTGCGCCGCGCGCTCCGAGACGTTCTGGGCCTTGCGCTGGAACCACTGCTTTTTCGGAAACTTCCCCGATGCGCAAGAGCTTCTCGACGACGGGGACCATGATGGTGTTGGAGAAGGCTGTGAACGCACGAAGCTGCTCGCGGAACACCACAAAGTCGTGGTACCGCTTGTGCGTCGTCCATTGCAGGTGCGTGAGCGGGCACGTGACGGTGAGCGAGTAGAGCGTGTACGGGCGACCGGCCTGCATCGCCTGCGACGTGCGCACGTGGGACGGCGGCGCCGGTGGCACGCGCGAGAGATGAAAGTTGTTGTGGTTCTGCTTGGGCGTCGCACCCGTGCAAGAAAGACGCCACGGTTCGGCCTTGATGATTGCACTGAGCGGCATGCGGCCAAATGAAAACTGATGCATCCGAGCTGCTCTTGGCGGCGACAGGCGCGGCTCAGAACCTACAGGCCGACGATTGCATGTTTCTGTCAATGTGGCAAGGCATTTACCAAAACCGTCCCGATGAGATTGCACTTTCTAAAAACGGCAAACTGGGCAGCTCCTGACCGGACATGGAGAGCCTTGACGTCCGTGGTGTGGTCGCCTTCGAGGAATAAGCCTCGACAAGTGGTGTCGACCGTCGTGCGAATAGCCTCGGTGGCGCAGGCGTGGCCCTGCATGAATCGTTGAACGAGAATCGCCGGCGAGATGATCATCGCACTCGTCGCATTTGTTGGACTGACGCAATCGCTGCGCTCGTTAAACGCTGCTGGATTGACGCGATCGCTGCACTCGTTGACTGTGCGGGATGGACATGCGTGCTGTGGATAGTATGCCTGGATGCGTATTTGGGAGAAGGCGGTCGACAGGTGCCGCTCAATGGCCGCCGCGCACGCTGGCTCACTGGTCGTCCATACATTCATCAAGACATTGGTAGCAGCGATGCGATGACGAGAAATGAGCATACCGCGGGATCCCACGGCGACTTCAAGAATCTGCGCATGAAGCGTGGGTATATTCTTTCAACACCGTGCCTTCGTGGGTACACACAATATAGCATGGATACCACTCGAGTAGCGCAGTCACGGGCGACCGAAGCGAGGCTTCGAGATGCCTCGCAACGACGGCAATCGGATCAGACGAGGCCTCTCGCCCTCGCCGGCAAGCGGCAAGGTGGCGCCGAGACAGTCTTGAAAAAATGTGTGTGTCACCACCACATGGCCCCATGTTTCCGATTTGCAGTCCCACGTAGAGCATGCTGGCATCGCGACCACCCCACGCGCTTCCGTGACGATGCACCGCGATGGGCACCCGGTACTGTTTGTTGTCCCGAGACAGCAGCGACCGTGATGTATCGTATCGAGGGGCCAGCCGATGGAAGCCAAGGCATATAGGCCGCTCCACTAGACCTGCGAGCGGCGACGAGCCGAGTACCCTCTTGCTTGCCAAGGCTCGAATATCATACTCGGCAAACTCCGCCCAAGAATCGGGCCAGTGGGTGTGTAGCCACGTCGTCGTCCAACACTCTACAAGGGTTCGCCCCGCCCACGCCCCCCGGCGCGAATTTTCTTGACTCGTCCAGAGCCTCTACATACGCACAACGAAGCGCGCTGCTAGAAAAAGAAGAGTCGACTAGCGTACCAGCGTCTCGTGCAAACCGAGAGCGTCACGGACAAGAAAGCACTCGTTCTCAGAGCAGACTTGAAGGAAAACCTGGCTTTGTGTCTGCAGGAGGTTGCGCGTTCGATATCATTGCAATCTTGCAACCATGGATCGCTTGGGACTCCGCCAACATGACGCCTGCGTGGCTTTGTCGCAAGCACCCAAAAGATGGCATTCCTTGACCACAGGGGGCGCGTTTCAGACACAACGATGCTCTTGGGAGGCTAATAGGGGCACAACTAACAATGGTGTCAGTTCAGGACGCTCGCTGTCCAAGGGCATCTCACCTCGAGTGCGATCTGCGTCTCCGCACGTGCTAAGATACAAGCTGTCGCCAACCCCCAGCGGTCGCCTCACGACGTGGCGACGACTTTACAGCGAACCAACAACGATAACTCAGCATTCTTATTCTCAATGAGAATGCTGAGCCAGGGTTAACGCGTTTGCATCGTACGAACTTCTGACCCGCTGCTTCAACAACTCTGCGCTGGAGCCCGTTGGATGTGGCGTTAAAGACAACGGCACCGAGAGGAAGGGGCTTGGAGCGCCGCGTCGACGAGCTTTTCTGCTACCTCCTGAGCACGATATGGAGCCTTAACGAGGTAGGGTGAGTATAGTGTAGCAACCACCTCGACAACCCCACTGCCACGTAGCGCTGCCACGTCAGACACTCGAGTACTGCCTCTCGGAGAGCGATCGGTAGTTAGCGTCGAGTACCATGGCTTCTCGTGTCGGCTGGGTTCAGCACAGTATGTCCAACCGATCGGCTTGAGCCAAAAGTGACTCGGAGCCGCCCGATGGACAGTGCTGCAGAGCCCGGTCTAGGGCCATCCGAGCGACATGCGGCTAGCGTCGGCGTCCTCATTGATGGCCAACGTGGCGATGCAGGGTTGCCAGCCGAAAGAGGCGTGGAAGGGCTTCTTACGCAGACGTTGTCGCGCAGCACCTTGCAAGGTGATTAGCGGCTAGCACCGTCGTCTGGCGTGCTCAAGCGCCCTTCAACTCAATGGAAAAGACATACGTATACAGCCACGCAAAATACAAAGGCTCGTCCGCTCTGTCGAGCAGGCACGCATGAGCTCTTGTCCGCATCGAGGCGCTCAAGTCGAGTCCAACAAGAGCTCGTACGACCAATTCCATTATGCATACAAGTACTTTTCATTCGCGACCCACGTATACGGCGCGTCTTCTTCTTCACTACTGCGAACGAGCACCATCGAGAGCGAGTCGTCTCGGGGCGTCGCCGTCGCGCGAACGTCCGTGGGCAGCGCCATCTCGTCCGTGGGCCACAAGACAATGTTGGCGAGGCCCCATTGCGCGGCCTCTTCATGCAGCGTCGCGAGGCACGCAGCAAACACGTCGGGCTGCGACCCCGCGTATTTGAGAATGTCGAGCGCGTTTTCTTCAAAGTTGTGGGCCCACACAAGATACCCGAGAATGGATCCGGCGGCCTCGAGCACAACACCATACGTTGTCGGCAGCGTCGGTAGCGTCAAGTGCTTGCGCGCAAAGTATGCGTGCTGCACGTGGAAGAACGTTATCGCATCCGCCGAGAGCAGAAAAGCGAGTTCGCCGGGCGCCAGACTGGCGGCCAATCGCTCTCGGTCATGCGCAGCAATGGCTTCGAGGTCGGCGTGGGACTCCAGCAGACGAAGCGTCCACGTCCGAGGCAACTCCGCTCGCGACGGCGTCGTACTCGTTGGCAGCGAGATAGCCAACGAGGGCGCGAGCACATAGCCTCTGGTGGCGTAGAAGCCCGTGCCAATGTCCGAGTAGAGGTTCACCACGGTGTACTGGTCCTCTTCGTCCTTCTTCTTTTGAAGGAACGCGGCGAGCATCGCGGAGGCATAGCCCTGCTTGCGGTGACGCGCCGGCGTAAACACGGACGCGACGCTCCAGCCATCGAGGTAGACGAGACCGGCCGATTTGTTCCATGGGCGAAGCACGACCGGCCGTTTGAAGACCTCGAGGTACCCGCGCAGGTCCAGCGTGCCCGGGTCCGACGTGGGCACCAGGACATAGTCGGTCACCGCGTCTTGCGCGAACGCCGTCGCACGAAACTGGTCTTCGCGGTCGAGGTACTCGTCGTACGTGAGGTGCGGCGCACCCCACTCCTCGTATGTGAGCACGTCGACCTGGGTCTCTTGGGCGTCGTCGCCAATGCGCAGCTCCACGTCGCCCATGGTCCGCTGTGGTGTTGACACATGGCGTAGACAGGCGGTCGCGGAGTACTCCCTGTCTAAACGCACCCAGCTCTGGACATGCCACCAGGCAATACGATACCAGTACAGCACCATGCACCACGCCAACGCTGTCATACATGCACGTGCATGGAATGGCGTGCGACGCATGCTTTACGCATGCATGCAAGGGCGTGTGACGGCGCGACAACAAGACCAATGACGAGATAGAGTTGGGTGTTTGTAGCATATGGCTCGACCAATGGCATTTGCCACTCAACCCGGCTCGACCCGAGGCGAAACTATACTGGGATTTATCCTGGTAGGAACGTTTACGTGGTGTACCAGCATCCCAGGGGATTAATTCGTACATTCTGGCCAACCCATTGGCTATAATTCCAGATTTGTTGGCCAATGAAACGCAGTTTCATTGGTCTCAGCCAATCGCATCGCGCAAAACACGTCCTATCAAGTGCGATTTTGTAGTCCCTGTTAAGTGCTGTCACATGATGGACATTATACCTGATTTTGTATACTTTAAGTACGACGCACTTATCAGGCGTACTTATTTAAGTGCGTCGAAGCCGCACCTAATAGAGCCTCCAAGCGCGCCTCGATTTCGGGACAGCGGAAGCGCGCGGAGACGATCGTCATGGCAAGGACGCCCTCTAGTACCATGGGGCCTCATGGGAAGCAGGTGAAGCCACGAAGGGTGTACGAGGTGGAGCTCTTCCGGGAGCGGCAAGCGCAGAGGATGCAAGAGACCCGAAAGAAGGCAAGACTCGCGAAGCGTGAGCAATCCGCCGCAGCGACCTTATCGACGGAGGCCAACTCGACTCATGACGAAGGCGTCAAAGATGCTGTGGAAGAGCCAGGTGACCTAGATGACCCAGGTGCGATGCCACATTGAAGACTGCAGCAAGCGACGACGGCGCGTTGGCCCGGAAAAGTCTGCGCACCGCAGCGCAGCGAAGGTCGCGCGTTGACTTTTGTCTAGGCCAACGCGCCGTCGTCGCAAATACCGGTAAGCAATGCTTCGCATTCAAAAGTTCAACTGTGGCACGTGGGCCCTGACGCCAACGAGCCTTGCGGGCCTTGCGGGCCTTGACAGCTTCCATCGCCGGCAGCTGCACCGCCCTCTAGGTATCCTTCACCCAATCACGCTCGGCGACGTCGCGATCTACAAGCGCTGCCATAGCGTCCCGCTGAGCGCGATCTTCGCCCGCCAGCGCTGGCGCCTGCTGGGCCACGTGCTGCGCCTGAAGGAAGACGTCCCTGCCAACATTGCCGCCGTCCGCTTCTTTGCCGCGCCCGACGCACCCCGTTTTTAGGCCGCACCAAGATTACGTTGCCGATCGTCCTGCACCGCGACCTCCAGTCGTTGACGCCGCCTCAGTTGCTGGCTACTCTCGGGGATCTCAACAAACTGCGTAGATCGCCGCCGACGACAAAGCCTGGAAGGCGTTTACACAGCGTGTCGTCATGGGCCTCACCCGCGGCCGCAAGCGCCCCCGGGCGACGACAGAAGAGCAAGACGAGCCCCCTCGCCGCCGCCTGCGCAGCCACGGCCCGGTGAACGAATAATGAAGAAGAAGATTGCTAGTCTCTA